GGAGGGCTGGAGGATATCCCTGAGGAGATGGAGGTGGACTACAGTAAAGCTGAGAGTGTTGCGTCCATTGCCAAGCTACGCAATAGCAAACAGGTGAGTTGTATCATATGAGCGCAAGCGGATATTAGTATTAATGTTCTGGTCATTCCTGTATAACATTAGATTTTATCTATAGTTTTCAGAGATTATGGACAAAATTTCGTTGTATGTTGGAAAGCAGCGCAAGAACTCAGAGGGTGAGTCCCATTTGTATTTAAATATTCCAGTTGAATGTTAACCAAGAATTCAATTTCATTTGGTACATTTCTGATTTGATTTTTGTTTCCCTTTAGTCTCAGGTCCAGTCGAGGCTGACCCAGAATACAGACTGATTGTAGCAGCCAATAATCTCACAGTAGAGATCGACAATGAGCTCAGTAAGTAGTCTGTTCTGGTTAATAAAAACTCAATGTTAACGGTTTAATGTAGTATTTCCCTGTATAACTCTGTGTGTGTGTGTGGTGTATTTATTTTTTTTTTTTCTGCCTGGGTTTCAGATATCATTCACAAGTTTACCCGGGACAAGTACTCCAAGAGGTTCCCAGAGCTCGAGTCTCTGGTGCCAGATTCTCTAGATTATATCCGCACAGTCAAGGTGAGATGAGTTGAAATGTTTATTTAGCTTTTATACCGAGTTTCAAAATGAGAGTAAGGAGCCCTGGGTTGCTACCTTTGCTGCACTATTGATTATATTTATCTTTAGTTGGACAAGACAATTTTTAGTTATTGATGGCAAGACATCTGCAGAAGGCCATTAGTTTACATAAAATTGAGTTCTATACACAAAAGTTAAGTCTGTGGCTCCAAATTATAACCACAGATGTTACAGGAAAGCAAAACTATTTGTGTTATCACTCATGTTAAAGAAATTGCACTGACTGACCCAATGGGTCGATGTTATAATAAATGTTTAACATATGAATTGCTACACACCCAGAAATTATCATTTAAGATTAGTCCGTCTGCCTTTTTATTATATATCAATTATTTTATTAATCTTTTGAGCATCATATTCTCATTGATTTGTTTCCTGCTCAGGAATTGGGAAACAATCTGGAGAAGTGCAAAACCAATGAAACTCTGCAGCAAATTCTCACCAACGCCACTATTATGGTTGTCAGTGTCACAGCCTCGACCACACAGGGGTGAGTAGACAGACAACTGTGGTTTACTGAGTATCTCTCCACTCCACAGGATGGCATCCTCATTGTCACTGCTGAGGGTGGCAGTGACCATTTTAAATGCTTATCAATAACTTAATTTGTGACTGTATTTTCATGGTTTTAGGACACAGCTTAGTGAGGAGGAACTGAAGCAACTGGAGGAGGCATGTGACATGGCTCTGGAGCTGAACCAGTCTAAACACAGGATATATGAATATGTAGAGTCCAGAATGTCGTTCATCGCTCCAAATCTGTCCATCATTGTTGGGGCGTCCACAGCTGCCAAGATCATGGGTGAGAGATGCAAAAAGAGGAGTTTTGGTTTACATTTGTAATGTCAATATATTTAGATTGTCCTTTCTGTCTTATCCCAAATCATTTTTGTTATCACTCTTTTCCCCTCTCTGGCTGCAGGTATTGCTGGCGGCCTCACTAACCTCTCCAAGATGCCCGCCTGTAACCTGATGTTGTTGGGAGCTCAGCGAAGAACCCTGTCCGGCTTCAGCAGCACCTCTCTGCTTCCCCACACTGGCTATATCTACCACTGTGATGTTGTGCAGTCACTACCACCTGTCAGTAAATATAATAACATAAACACACATTGCAGTGTTTTTGTGCATTTAACTTGGCACGCAGGACGTTGTAGTTGATACTCGTCTTAATTTTTTGTTTTCAGGACCTCCGGAGGAAGGCGGCTCGTCTAGTTTCTGCAAAATGCACTTTGGCATCCCGAGTGGACAGTTTCCATGAGAGTTCAGATGGCAAGGTCCAAATACACATGCTACACAAATAAATCCTGTATAGACTCAGTTATACTTTGTAATATTTTTCTTAACCACATTTACTTAAATGAGGACCAAAACAACGTCAGCCATTTTCCATTTGTTGTAATTACCGGTCTGACACACAATGTTTACAAACATTTTTAACAATTAGTTTTTGCACGCAGCAATAGTAAAGAATAATTTTATTAATTCTGGGCTCCTCTGGCATTAACATTTGTATCATTATTTGCAGGTTGGCTACGATCTAAAAGAAGAAATTGAGAGGAAGTTTGATAAATGGCAGGAGCCCCCGCCTGTGAAGCAGGTCAAACCGCTGCCAGCCCCGCTGGACGGACAGAGGAAGAAGAGAGGAGGAAGGAGGTAAAGGACCAGTCATCACACATCGATTTAGAGACAAGCGGAATGCAATATGCAGATGTTTAGAATACAGATTTATTGCTTTTATGAAGCCTTTCACATCCTATCTCTGTCTTTTCTGAAGGTATCGAAAGATGAAGGAGCGTCTCGGCCTGACTGAGATCAGGAAACACGCCAACAGGATGACCTTCGCAGAGGTCAGACGATATTTTCTGTCATGCCTCTTATACTGAGGATAGAGTTGCTCACTTTGGTTCCTCTGGTTGGCTTTTCTTACTCCTTAGAGGATGATGGCTAAAAGTAGCTTCTCTCTTCTTCGATTTACAACAGATACAGCACCAAGACCTCAGAGACATGGATTGCTCTAATATTTCAGCCTAGAGGCAGAAACGCAATTTAAACAGTTTAGGGCAAAGCCACTGTAGCGAGATGAGGTTTCATGTGTTTTATTTATTTTTTATTTCATCCCCACCAAAAACTCTTGCTTCAGCTTCTGAATAAGGACCCTGTGTTTTTAGCAGGAGAATGGAAACCGTAGTTAGTGGTCTAATTTACCTCCAGTACAGGGATGTATGTTCTTTTCTAGTCTATGACCGAAAACATCCAACGTCAGAAAGATCTACTAGAAAGCTCACTTACAATCGCACCAGTATTTCTGGGCTGTTCACAACACTTAAGGGACAAACACTTAAGTAAACTAGTCTCTCTTCACTGTGCTCTTGCCAGCTGTTTTATAACAGTATGTTCATCACAGTGACTGCTTTCCTCTCAGGAAAGACGCTGCAGAACTTGATGCAAAAATATACTATTTTATATTGTTTGAGAAGCCTAAGCACTGAGACTGTAAACTTAATTTCTGGTGTGATGCTGCAGATTGAAGACGATGCATATCAGGAGGATCTGGGCTTCAGTCTTGGTCAGCTGGGGAAGAGCGGCAGCGGGCGCGTCAGACAGGCTCAGGTCAACGAGGCCACCAAGGCCAGAATCTCCAAATCCCTCCAGGTAAGTTAATTCACGGCTCATTTTTTACTCCACCATTGTCTAATTTGTTAACTTTTCAGCATCTAAGTCTCTGCTGTTTGTTGTACACAACAGAGAACGTTGCAGAAGCAGAGCATGACGTATGGAGGAAAGTCCACAGTCAGAGACCGCTCCTCAGGAACCAGCTCCAGTGTGGCGTTCACTCCTCTACAGGTAAATATCAGTAAACATCCTCTTTTTTGAATATATCCCCTGAGCACAGTGAAGGTTTAATGTAGCTAACAACCGTTCTTCTCTTGTCTTGTCTGTAGGGGCTGGAGATCGTGAACCCACAGGCTGCAGAGAAGAAGGTGGCTGAGGCTAACCAGAAATACTTCTCAAACATGGCAGAGTTCCTCAAAGTCAAGAAGGAAGCTAAGATGTGAACACACACACAATCGTCCCGCACACAGACAGTTGCACTCGACACTGCTAAGTGATAGTATATTTTCAGATTCATCTGACATTTGTGTTGTCCTGTATTTTTACTTTTTCCATTTCAATAAAACGTGAAGACTTCACGAAGCGTCCTGTCTTCCCTTAGAGAAGGTAAAAATGTTGAGTTGGTACGTTTGCTTTAGCCATATAACTTATGTTCTTAATGGCCAAACTTCACAAATACATGCATCAAATCTTTATTATAATCTGTGGGGGTTTTTTTTATTTAATAAAATTAAAACATCAATTTACCAAACCAATTGAAGCGCATTTGAAATTTTTGGAAAATAAGTGGATCCATATTCCATATAGGAATGACAGGACTTTACACCACACACTGACTTGTAATTTCTTAAAAGTATTTATTGAAATTTTACAATCCTGTTATAACCCTGTTTTATGACATCTCCCATGCAGAACTGTGATGAGAAAAAATTGTAAATATGTCTTGAAATTCACATTTTAGCAATTTCTTAACTGACCTTCCCTTTCTGAAAACCTTAAAAGCCCCAAAAATAGAATCTATAAAAGGCAAATCTCTCATAACTTTGCTGTATCCCCCCCCCCCTCCCCCCCAAAAAAACCAACCTGAAAACGAGTCACACACAACATAAAACTGTAACTGTGGTACAGATCTCAAGTTTTCATGGTTGCTTAAATGGAAAAATCTGATTCAGTTTAACGCTCCCCATTCAAACGGCCAAGAAAAGGTGGGATCTGCCCCACACCAGATTAAATCTTTTTGTTCTTCAGGGTAGCACATAAACCACCACGGCAGATGAGACATTTCTTACTGGATCCACGAGTTTAATCTACCACCAGAATTGTAGGATTTGTTTTCACTCTACATGTAAACAGTTTTATCAGTGCACATTCACTGTATAGGGTTTTCACTCAAAATGTCAGGTGGTATATTGAACACAGTGGATTTTAGGATGAAGTAACAACAGAATAGAAGAACTAAAGGTGGGACATTGGCTCAAACCAAACTCAGATTCATTATCTAACACTGTATTGAGTAATTAAGAGGCGATTTGGGTACAGGTACATTCACTGCGCTTAGCGTGGTCTTTTGCAATGATGACTCAAATCAAACATCAAGTCGATTAATGTCTCGAACCCTATTTTAAGATTTATTTTACAAGTTTATTTGTCACAAAACATGAATGCGCCATAATGCATTTTCTTTGACAAGTTAACTTAAAAACATTTTATTTGTAAAGAGGGAGTCAGAGACCAGTTCAATTGCATAGCAATTTAATCCATGTCCAATAAGGACTCTTTCCCTGTCACAGGGAGAGGCCCTGTGGTCACTCTCAATCAGCGTTTTTATCGACCAAGACAATATCAATAAAACTATTGATAACCGCTCACTATCTCTAATAGTGACCATATTCAACAGGCATCGTAGGGTCTTAAAAGAAGCCAGTCCTACACACCATGACTAAATGTCCACTGTACCTCCCCATTCGAAACCACCAAATTACAGTAAATACAAGATGGGCAGTTTTACTCGACAATCAAATCCAAGGTTTGTTTTGTGTCAAGTCAAAGTCTTCCAGGCTCATGTTGGGTAGGTGGTACAGAGAATTTTGTTGAAACGGAAAAAGAAAACAAAACATGAGAAACATGCATGGGGTAGGCTTTCCTAATGCCACATACTGAGTGTGCACACAGACAGGCACAAACGCAGATCCCTAGTGAGAACCCTCCCAGCTCGTGCAGCGCGACGCATTTGATCAGGCCCATGGGGCATTTTTGTCAAAAGCAAAGTGCTACACGAGAAGCAAGGGCTTCACGTTGAGATGCAGCCTATACAGACACCAGTCTCCATTTTAGGAGAGGATTTCTACTACACATCACAATCTCTATCCACAGTTTGAAGTTCAGTCTCGGAATGTCAACAGCAGCACGTTTTGTGTCTCTGTCCTTTTTCATGTCCCTCTGTCCGTCACTGCAGGTCTCTGTCTTCGAGGTACCTGTACTCGAAGGTGAACCCCTCCTTCTTCCTCTGGCCCCATTTCTCATAGTCAAAGTAAATGTAAGTGCCCTGCAGAAACCAGCAGAGAAGAGAGAACAATCAATACATGCATCCACATTCTAGTTTCTAACTCGGAGAGAAAACGTGATCTGGAAATGAACTGTGGTGGATTCTGCACCTGTTCAAACTCGTCAGTGATAGTCTTGGGCTCTTCGTGCCTCTGGAACCACATCATGTACTTGGTGTGAAACCTCCACGACTGTTTCTTCAAAGCCTTGGCAGACAGATACTGAGCCTTGGTGCCCTGAGAGTGTGACAGAGAGAGAGGAGAGGGGGAGGCCAAATACACCATTAATCTGACAAGCAAGCTTGTAATACATCACTGGGAGGTTGAAGGGGTGTAAAAATGGAGTGGGTGTGTGCGTGATATTTACCTCCAGGTAGTAGAAAATGAAAAAGAGTGTTTCTGTGGACAGTCTCTGGTAGAACTCTATGGAGTCCGAGTGGTGCGGCGGTATCTGATGATGGAAGGGCAAGGTGGGACACGGATTCCTCATCAGGTATTGCCTTTAGGACAGAGTCAGAAACAAAGAATTAAAAATCCAGAACAAAAATGATTGATCAAGCCTTTACATGTTACAACTAAACTTACACTATCCAAACCAACCAGATCCATATACGCATCCATGTCATAGTTAAAATACTGACTGAAAGTTATTCTTTTGCTATTTACGAATAATTTCTTTAAAGGGACAAGCCTGGCAATACTCTATATTTTTGTTATTCTCAGGCTCTCAGCAATCAGGCTCTGAGCCCAAAAAATAAAGATGTTTTGATTTATAAAAAGGATAAATTATCTCCTAAAACAGCGAGACATCAGGAGTCTGTACTACAAAGCAGGATTTGACGTTGGCGAGGTAAGTTCAGTCCTACGTTGGTGTTTCACTTCTTACATTGCCATGGTAACTTATGCTGAACGGCTGACCTTCTCCGGAGCAGGTTCTGTTCGAAACAAGAGATCAATGCTTTAAACCTACCGCCCAATGACCATCAGTTCTCTTGGAAAATGGCTTCACCATTCGTAGATCTGCTTTATAGGCTACTTTTATACTGTGGGTAATACAGAGATGCTTTTGTATACCGATATCATCCTACAACAAAGACTGACTGAAAGACTAAAGCCTTGTACTTGCAGGGTAAGAAAGTAACTTACTGCTTTGAAATGTTTTTATATATTTTTTTATTTGCTCCCAAGTCTATTTCATCCCGTTGCAGCTGTTAAAATAAATAGTGTAACTACTAGTTTAACTACTACTTTTTATGTGAGGCAAAATATTACGAGCATATTTTGGTATTCAAATAAAGTTTAATATGAATTTGTTAATAAGTTTAGGATTTGCATTTCTTTCTTTAATTACAGAGACTGGTACAATGTAGGTGAGTTTTCACTAAATTTTGGGCCGTGGTGGAGAGTCTTTTCGACCAACATCGAGCACTTTTAATGGCATACATGGATTTTAGTTTCATCATTTTAGAACAATGCTTAGAACATTTGTGTTAAATTAATCAGATTTTTGTCTGACAGTAAGTTCTTGAAAGTTAGTTGGAACGAACTTACTCAGTGCCTGTGACTTTTGATGTCTAAACAGCGATACAGCTGCTGCAGCTGAAAGAATAAGGCTAATATTGTCTTACACACCAGAAATATACACCTAAGCAACACATTTGGTTTATGGAACATACAACTGTAATTATAGTCAGATTGACTCGTGCCCTAATGATGGGGCAGTGATATTATAAGCCTATTAACTTACATTCAGTGATTGTTTTTTTTTGCCAGATGTCTTTCCTGCATGTGACAGATGCGTTGCTTTTAACCTGGATTATGCGGTTATGAGTTCTTCATATTGGTCTAATATTATAGTTTGCTCTGCGTTTGCCAGCAGTCTTGTCCATGTTGATCCATGGTAATATCCTGAAAACACTGGCCTCTTTATGTGAACAGGCTCATGGCTGGAGTAAACAACTATCCGGTACAGATAAATCATTTAAAGTCTGTCATGTATCCCTTTTTGTATCCCTCCTTATATGTGTAAACCTTCTTGGCAATTAAGCTGATGCCGATTTTGATTTCAGACTTATCTCAACTTCCTACACAAGAGTTATATAAGCCCCGCCCATCTGGAAACACATACAGATCATTTCGTTGGTTAAACTGATAAAGGTGTCTCCTCATCCCTACTGGACATAATGAAGGAACATGTCACCCGGTGCAGTGAAGTGGCCCATTTATGCGTTTTCAATAGTTCAAAATGAAGCTCTATGGCACAGAGGAAAAAGCCGTATTGTTGACTCAAAGTCTTGATCAATGTACATTTGTTTAATTAAATGACTGTAAAACAGATTTAAAGCCCAGCACTGTGTTTTTGCACTTCCTATCACTGGTTGTGAAACACGCAGTGCCCCTCACCTGATCCTCTCAGAGTCGGAGGGGTGTGGCATGTGTGTCCACGCGGACTCCTGCATGGCCTGCTGGTAGAGCTGGTCTTTGGGGAGAGGGGTGGGGCCAAGTGGACAGACCCCGAGCGAAGGGGGAATGCTGACTTCCGACACGGACGGCTGAGGGGCGGCGGGTGTGCCGGGCGCTGCAGATGATCCAGAGAAGATATCTACAGGAAAAAGGGAAGGATTGTAGACATGAACTCTTTAGTTCAAGAAAACTCTCCTCTCCTTTTTTTCTTTTTTCTTTTCTTGCTGAGGGAAATCTTTTCTTTTTTACAAACTTTCACTTCTTTACGGAGCACGTCCCAGTTTTATTTCTGGCAAAAAACTAATATTTGTTACATTCTGTGAGTGTACAGCCTTAACTAACTATAATTTTTATTATAGACACCTTGGACATTTTGTTTGACTGACTGATAAATAACTCTAAGTAAAAAAGTGTTTACTTAATAACTGACAAACATTTAATTGATAATTGTACTTTCACTAATTTATGGACATTCTGAACTGTAACTCTACTTACCATTACTACGACTTACTACTGCAGTTGTCAAGTAAAAACGTCACATGTATTCCAAACATAATGTCACTGTAAGCCCCTTCCTCTTCAGTAGGTTTTGCAGTGTAAAACTGTGAGCTTATTATTCATCAGTAAGTCGTTGTAGAAAAAATGTCTGACCGTTCCGACCTCTGTCTGTTAGGTGCAGGTTGGGAATTTCTCCATCCAGGCCTGATCCCAGCGCTGCTCTCTCAGCCATCGCCTTCAGAGAACTGAGTGGCTCAGGGGCCTGAGGTGGGAATGAGATGGAGACAACATGAGAACAGGGTGGGTCATTAAGTCCAATTAAGCCGGGGAGAGAGAGGAAAGCCTAATAAATTGTAAAAACCAACTACTCTTACAGCTGCTACAATGACTTGTATTAGTCCATACACTGAGCAATGTATTCAAAGAGACAAACCTCGGCAACTCGTCTAAATAAAGATGTTTTCTGGCACAGCTAACAGATTGCCCTACATTCTACACTAATATATCCAACACTGGATTCTTCATAGTGTGTTTGTGGTGAAGAAAATGAGAATTGGGCATTTGCTTAAGAAAGTCCAACTATATCTTGGCATGACATGATTTCTCATGTTTCACATGATCATTGGGCTTCTGTGTTGGACAGAGGCTCGTGGGTAGCAATGGATATTTTAATAATGCTATTTACAGCTGAGCCCATCAACGCTCTCCAGCAATGCACTAAACAGGTGTACCTAAAAAAAAAAAAAAACTACCAACATAGTCATTTGGTGATTTAAATGGATTGGGTTGCATGGGTCATTATTAGATCTTAAGTGTCGTTGTGAATCATGACAGTAAGGGAAGATGAATGGTCTAATATTCACACTCTTCAAGGACTGGCAAATCTGATCAGGAAACAAATGACGAGAAGTCTCCCTTTTTTGCAATATGAGGGCAAATACCCTGTAATAATTAGGCTAGAAAGCTTTTTTATTCCACAGTCTGACATTTCACCATCTTAACCAGCTGAACTTGTCTGCCATATCTCTCCACACAGTAAGCGATAGAGGCTACTCAATTAGAGCAATGCGGGGCTCTGACAGAAGACTGTGGCAATCTCTCAGTTGAAACACTGCTATGGTACCTCACCTTGAGGGCCTCAGAGGCCTGTGTGTAGGAGTGGGGCCCGTTGAGAAGACTGCCTCCTCCGGGTGTGCTGTCTGAGAATGAGGGGGACGGAGAGCTGGGAGGCAGGGTGATGGAGCTGATTAAACTGGGACCATTGTCCATCCTATACCAGGTAGAGTGGGAACAACAGAGAGACGGGTTAATAGCCATGATGTGACAAATAAGAAGTGTGCAGAGACTGAAGACTCGGGTCGAGTGAACAACAAATAACTCACGGCTGACTGGTTGAAGAACTGAGAGATGAAGGCTGGCTGCTTTGTGACTGGCTCGGTGTGCTTAGAGCTGATTCTGTGGAGCTCTCTGCCACTACAGCACTGTAACCTGAGGGCGGGCGAGGGAAAAGTGAGGGAAAAGTTAGGAAAAAAAACAACACAAATAGAAGATTATGTGTCGAGTCACACAAATGCCAAGCATAACAAGTTAACATACTTGTGCTTCCATTTTGCTTAAGTCCGCTGGGTGGTCTAGCAGGAGCCGCATTCACCCCTACTCCTCCAACCACGCTGACATTCCCTCCATTGCCTCCCATCAGGCCAACTACTCCAGGAGTAGTGCTGACAGAACTTGGGGGCACCTGAGAGGCACTGGGGGCTACATTTTGCCCAGGAACTAGACTCAAAATGCTCCCGCTCAAAGAGTTGTGGGCCGGGCTGGAACCCAGCAAACCGAGCCCTGTCCCCGCCCCGTTGGTGGTGACTCCACTGGAGCCAGAGGTGGGGATGGAAGTGCTGCTCTCCACTGAAATACTGGACTGGGTGGTGCTGCTCAAACCCAAGGCTCCTGATGCTGCTGCCTGAGCGTAAGGGGCAGGTGTTGAGCCTGAAATGAGCCCTGCCATTGTGTTTAAAGGAGAGGGGTGACCCCCCAGGCCTAAACCAGGCATTTGTTGATTGGCACTGCTGGTCCCCGTCATGCCAATTTTGCTCAATCCCAGCCCCAGCCCGAGTCCTAAACTGGATGCTGGGGAGGGCCCAGATGTGGGCTGAGAGTTGGAAGCTGATGAAATGGGTGTGCTGGGTGTGGGGAGAGGGGGGGCAGTTGAGGCTGGGAGTAGAGGGTTGCTGGGCGGGCTGGGGGTGTTTGAGGGGACTGAGGGTTTTGTCTGAGGTGGCGGCTGCTGCTGCTGCTGCTGCTGCTGCTGCGGTTGGTTGGCTGGCTGAGGTTGTTGCTGCTGCGCAGGTTGATGCTGATGTTGCTGCACTGCACTGCTGAAGCTCCCTATAAGACTGCTGCTTGTGGGAATCGCAGAAATACCTCCGACTACGCTCGCCATGGACACAAGGGAGGACGACGACGAGGACCCAGAGGTGGTGGAGGAGGAAGAGAAGGAAGATAGCAAGGATGGGGTGCCGTTCTTCACAGGTGACTGAAAATGAAAAAGCACCAGAAAAAAGGCATTTCAGACACAACTGTCCAGGCTGTACTAGCTGTACATGCATGAGGAGCAAAGTTTACTGGGAGCTATGGAGACCCAAATTTGCAGGAGATGGTACAAACTAAATCAGAAGTCTCCAACCATGGTCCCACAGAGAAAGAGCTCATTCTTTTTCAGTGCCTGAGAGGCCAAAACCCTTCAGCCACAGGGACTCTCCAGGACCAAGGGTGAAGAGAGCAGCACTAAACTGTTCATCTACTGGCACAGCACAGATGAGAGCCTCTCACCTGACTAACTTCACTGTCTGTCGACCGTCCCCTTTTCTTATCGTCCTCTGAGTTCTCCTATAGGAGGAGATACCTTGATATGACAATCCACTTTTGAAATGTTGATTCAGCAAATGAGTCAGTGGATTATAACACAATGGGTATTGTAGAAGGGTTAACTCAATTCAAATGTCAAAAGAGAAATACCGTAAAACTTCACTTAATATCTTTAATTACTATCTCACTCACTCTGCCTATATTTGGGACAGGTGTCTATATGGGGCAGGCCTTTAATTCCTATCCCACAAAACTCTTGCTCTGCAAAAATGGGAAATAGACTGCTATCAAATTGTGTATTTAAACCAGTATGAATATTACTTATCAAAATCATGCTATAACATATCAATGATGAATAATTAATTTGATCTTGCTCTGAGAGCGAGCACATCGAGGTTAACCTCATGTACAGAGAGAGGGAGAGAGAAAGAAATTACTGTAGTTATGTCAACTTGAATTTTATAATTTTTTTAAAATGTTGTTATTCTTTTGATTGGCAGACCAGACCAGGCTTTTAATTGAGACTTGCATTTATTTGTCAAAACCTCCAGACCTGTAAACGGGACAGGTGTCTAATTGGGACTAGGCTTTTAACTGAAGTTTTACGGTATATGCAAAATTGTGCCAGAATGTACTTTTTTTTTTTAACCCAGCATCTTTTAACACCTTGACCCAATTTATAATGATACAAAAAACTTACAGCAGTGCAAGTGGCCGGGGATGGAGGAATGGGTGAAGAGGAGGTGGTGGAAGTTGGAGTGCTGCTGGAGTGGAGATACATCTCATCTTCCACATTGCCCTGACCTGACGGAGAAGTCGCAACTAATGCTGTAGCTGCAAGAGAAAGACAGGACAGATATGTCGTCATTATAACCTCTCTAACGTCTGCTTTCTAACTGAAGATTAACATTGTCCTAACACGCCACAGTGTTCTACTCACGGATGTCTTCCAGGTCTAAGTCGTCATACAGGAACTCGTTCTCCTCAAAGTCCGGGTCTTGGGAGGAATCAATGTAGTATTCAACATCATCCTTGATCTTCTGGATTGAATCCACTGGTATTGAGTCATTGTCAAGCATTCGTAAAATGGTCTCCAACATACGAATGTGGAATCTATGCCTTTCAATCAACCGCTTGAGCTCTTCAATACGATCTTGCTTCTAAATGACAGGCAGAAGACAAGCATGTTGATTATGACACTATACACTATAACATTTTTTACCAAACCTTTACCAGACTATGTTGGACTACACTGCACCAGATATATACAGGGGAATTCCAACATTTTTACGGAGTGTATACAAATAAATGTCCTTGAAAAGAATGAGATGGGAGGACTTACGTCTTTATCACCCTTCTTCTTTCTCGTCTGAACTGAAAGAGACTCCACCTCACTTTCAAACTGATCCACCTGCATATTTAGAGTGTCTATTGTATTCTGCATGTGAGGAAGAGGTCAGAAAAAAGGAGTGTTAATGGATTTAATCTAAATGTCTTCCTAAAAAAACAGATTTCTGTCAAACTCCCTTACTTTCTAAGCTTTACTTAATAGGTTCTTGTTAGTTTTTGACCAATTCCTTCAAAAGATTTCACATGTTCTGTTTTCATTCTTAAGTTTTAAATTTTTGGCAGAAGGCAGAAAAGTTTATCAAGAAATATTTGGGCAACCAGAATGTACAACAGCTACAGGTAATAGTGGATGTATTACTGTTAGCCACTGTCCCGTTTCCTCCTTTTCCCTCTGAGCTGGATCCACTTTCTGAGCGAGCCCCAAGCCTTCTTTAGAGTAAGCTTTTGTTTTTGTTTCCCGTTCCACCACCTTGAACCGCTCCATTTGCTGAGGAAAGAAAAATCACATAGGCCTAGTTTAGTTAACTGTTTTGATGAGCTGATGATACTTTACGAAGACAATAATAAGCTAGAATAGGAAATTATGCACAACCATACCGTCTCTATAAGCTTGCGATTCTCGACTAGCTGCCTTTTGTCTTTGATCTCGTTTGAGGCCACCCATGTTTTTATTTGATCTCTCAATCGCTGGGAAGAATAATGATAATAAAAATATTGAAACATTAATTTCAAATATAGGCACTGTTGATCAAGCGCGCAGATAAAGGGACAACGTGAAAAGACATGTGTTTGTTAACCTGTCATACCTGTAGTTTTTTAATCTCTTTCTTGAGGTCAGCCTCATACTTTTCCTTCTGGTTTGCATTGGCTGCATTGTGGAGCTAAAATGTAGACAAATAAACAAGATATTTCCAGTTTAACAGCATCAGTTTTTGAAATAGAGTATCAAACACATGCAGGATGCAAAGATCTCTTACCTTTTGCCAGATGTCTTCAAACTGTTCTACACCCTCAGCTACTTTTTTCAAACATCTATCGATCTCACCTGCAGAAATAAAAGATGTGGTACAACACTGTTGTATGTATATCCGTGCAACACCAAAAGTTCTTCGCAACTTACTGAAGAAGAAAATATTGCTAGATGGAATCAGTCTCTGTACAAAATTCCATGCTTGACGGCGTGATGGATCCTGTGCAACATCAGTTTCACCAGTAGTCTTTCTTACCTTGTAGTTTTCTCTTGTCAGCCATGGCTCTGACTACGACAATGTCCACATTCCGTCTGTCACAAAGTTAGCTATGCACAGAAAACAAAACGTGGATCTACACATCGTTCAAACAAAACACAATCCCTACAACAGAGCAATCAGAACATCCTGAGTGGAACTGACGTTACCTTCAGCTAGCTCACCAGTTAACTTAACGTTTGCAGCACAAATGTTATCGCTTCAGAATTTAAGGACGCTTTGAACCAAACCTTTGATCTGACCATCTGTCTATCGTTATCTATTCGTGAACTTAGCTGATCTTGATCTTACCAATATGATTGACATGGTTGTCAGCTAAAATTAGCCACTTAGCCAGCTAACGTTAATACTACCCAGTACCTTAGCTCGTCTACCTCGCTCGGTCACCAACTGGCCGGTTTCAAAACAAGTACCACGGAGCATGTTGATGGACATATGTCATATTCATGCATCATTATTTTGGGGTCCGGTATAGCTTTTATATGGTGGTTTTACGTTGTGAAAGGCACAAGGTATCAGAATCCGTTCTAATCGTTAACCTGCAAGCTAATATGGCTAACTGTCTGGCTAGCTAATGCATAAATGCTAGCTAGCAGCTTAGATAGCCTGCTAGCCAAATTTAGGAAAAAGGGAAACTGGGTCAACCCCACCATCTAGATTTATACTTGTTTACGACATTTACCTAGGGTATGGGCTTTCGTTTGTCTTTTTTCAAATACAGCCAGAACTAATTCCAAAAAGTCTTCTTTACTTCCAAATTGTGTTTTCTTTTCGACAAGCTCGCTCACTGTAATGTAGCTGAAGATGGACGGTAGCTAAAATCCCACCTCCGCGTTTGGGACCCGCCCTAAATCGAATCTACAAGATCTGATTGGACATAATTCAGGCCTGTCACCGAGAGACATCCGCTGGAATGGGGCCCACCCATTGGCTCAGCCGTCTGATGAATTATGATCGACACAAGCCCAAAACTAAAATCAGACATTCAAAATGTTTGTTTTTCTGGAACATTTTTAAAACATTTATCTTTAACAACTAACTTCTTTGCATAGATATTTTCATAGATGTTTTACTTTATTGATTTTCTCATTCATCCATGACAAGAGCAAATTCCATCCTTTGAGGAAGACAGACATTTCAGAAAATTTTTTGGCAAATTAAACAAATTATTTTTAGTTCGGCCTGAAACGGTTTTAGCTATTGTATAAAAACATGATAAATCAAAGCTTAAATCGTTGATGCGTGTGAACACTAATAAAAGTAGTCAGTAAACATGATAAAATGCACACACTAGCCCTTTCTAAGCACTCTAAAACTTTTAAAAGTTAAAAACATTAATTTAAAAACTTTAAAATAAAATAAAAATAATACAGCCTAACCAAATAGCAGTCTGTAATACTTTAATACTGATCATGACTCTTACTGCTTACTGAGATAAAATCATAAAATCATTGATAGTCTCCAGGAATGTATTTTGAAAGCCATTAATAACAAAAGTTTTCTACTACTAGTTTGCAACTGGTCATAATTATTTGTCTTAGTACAAAATATGACAAACAGAAAATAATATATAAAAAACAAATGTATACATGTACCAGGTGGATAGCATCTCATTTTACCTTACATGACTCCAATCTGTTCATGATGTTCAAGTAAAACTACAAACAGTGCAAAAGCTGGCTGAACAGAGGCAGCATATCTACTGAACAGTAAAATAAACTGGGTGCTCCTATATCCAGGGCAGTGCAATGATCAGTGAGACAGAGATGTCGGGCTGGGCATTTCTCCAAACTGTGTCTCTGCCAATACTGACATGTCTGGTTCAGTCTGGGAAAAGAAGCAGAAACTCAGTCAACAGTAAATCAATTATCCTGCACTGTTAGATGCCTGATTGCTTACATTAATGAGACCTATCTGCATTCAAAACCACCCATTAATGCATTCCACAACTACATGTTCATCCAACTCACACATAAACACACAACAAGACATAGAGCATATGTAAAAAGATGGATCAAAGTATTAATTAATTATTAACTGCAGTCAAGCAATGATTTTCAACTACCTGTTGGTCTTTATCCTTGTCTTGCCGTGGAATTCGGTGCCTCCTCTTCTTTGGTCCAGCAGTGTGATGCAACGCTGCAGATGAAGAGGAACCAGACACACCGTTAAGCCGGTCATCCTCCACTCCAGCAGCAGGATCTAAATGGGCTCCAGGCTCATCCTGAAACATGAACAGGTTAAAAAAATGAAAATATAAAAAGGGATTAAAAACAAGCTTGGGCATAAACCATAACAGGTTAATCCTCACATTGTGAAATGCTATAGTAAAAAAGTATAATTAATTAGTATATTTTTATCAGGTCTGGATTTAGAGAAATTTATCCATACTCCATGGGTCCTTCAGGTTTCTTCAGTAGGTCGTAATTTTGCACTCGGCCAATTAGAGCCATTGACATAAAGAGCTAACACTAATATTAGCATAGCTGACTGAAAATATGACATATGATTGGTTTATGCCAGTGCAGACGGGTACTGATTTCAAAATATGGATTGGTGCAGTTGACAGGTAGATATGCAGATCTAAATGACATCAGAAATGACCCACATCATCTTTACAGGACAAATTTTCTTCCATCCCACTACTAATATCATGGTATGAAATACTATGAAAGAATTATTTAAGCTATTATGTAAACAGGCTGATAAGTGCATTTTTTTCTTCTATTAAATGTGTCAGTCACCTGTCCATTTAATTCTCACCTCTAGAAGTATAGTGAGCTGGGCATTTCTGTAGTCATCTCCATGAGTATCTAAAGTCTTCATGAGAAACCTGTGAAATTAACATGATCTTTAGATGAAGGAAAGCATCTCAGAAAATGAAAAGAAAATTGCTTTACTGTACCGCCTTTCTTTCTTCAAGCGCCGTGTGATTCTTTGTACTTGGTGAAGGCGACCAAGAATCTTTTGATTCACCTGAAAAATACACATCTGGAAGTGATCACAGGATGGGGAGTACGCAATCGTACTTGACTGATATGAGCTTTAACAAGTAGTATCAGTACTAGTCCAATATTTGATTGGTGAATTACAATTATAGGGATTTCTTTCTAGACATGTGTCACTTTGAAGAAAAGCAACACAATCTGAAAATATCATTGTTTTAAAAATAATCATATTGGCATTTCTAAAAAGAGTGCTGCGCACCTGCATTTGCAGTCCTAAACTAACATCAGCTGATATGTATGAAAATATATCAGAAACTATAGTTGGATTGAAAAAATACCTCTAAATAATTTGGGAATTAAGTAACTAAATAACCCAAACATGAAGTAAGAAGTGTGTTCAAAACAACACACATTAAGCAAGCTTTGAGTGGTCGGAAGACTAGAAAGGCGCTATACATGCACAGTCCATTTACCATATGCACACACCTGTTCAATTTCTTTACATCTCCTGCTCAGAGCCAGATATTTCCTCTTATCAAGAGCCCTTCTATCTTCGTCCTCTTGTGCTGTACTCTCCAGCAACTCGTCGCCTCCCGGGCCCAGCTCCACCTGTAGAGGAAAACCTTGTTTCTATTTGTTTGACCGCCTGTGTCAGTGTTTCAAATGGAAATATTGTCACAAAAAGAACATTTCTGTTGCTGAATCTATTATAATAAAGTTGTGTGGCTTTTCATTGTAACAATATCAGTGCTGCTTAAAGACATTACTGTTACAGATATCTATATTGGATGATAATAATGGCATTGCCTATCTACTGTTACTTTTAAATACCTTTTCATACATACAAATCAGAAATGACCTCAGCAGACCATTTCTCCACCCACTGAGCTACATGTACAATGGGGCACTAGCTAGATGTTTCCACTCACATCAACACTACTATTACCTTTACCAAGATCATTAACGTTACCTCTCCTGGTCCCAGCTCCACGCCACCAGGCTCCAGCTCTGCCTCCAGGATGTGTCCTCCAAACAGAGGAGGAAGAGCCAAACCGGAGAAATCCTCCATCATCTGGACAGTAAGAGAAGTGTTTTCATGAAAAACATTATTACAAAGACAGTATGTGTAGCCACAAATTCACTATAGCTGTGTCGTTCAATCTAAAAATTCTACCAATTTCCATTTTAAGGAATTTATCAAACAAACAAAAATAAATGCATTTGCCTGCTGGCAACATTCATTTCTACCGTGGTAACATTTGTTAAATATAAGCGCCGTTTTATTGAGTAAATTAAGAGTAGTACTGACTATAATCGTTAAATAAAGCCCTGGTATAATCAATGACGGGATGTCGCAGTAGGCAACATACTTTTAATCTACCCAGTACTTACATTTATGAATGAAACGTCCAGAAACTCCGGCGTCTGCTCAGCAGCAGCTGTGTGTGTTTGCCCTGCTCCACTGCAAACTGTTTCATAAAGTCAGTCTTCTCTGTGTATTATTGTAGTCTACACAGTCAGGTTAGCTAAGAGCGTTTACTAACACATACTGTATACTAACTATAAATTCACTTGGCTGAAGTCAAACGTTAAGCTAAGCAAGGACAGCTTCTCTTTCACATTCTTCTCGATAAGCTAATGTTTTTATGCGACGGGCGCAGAAGTTATACGTCGGTCAGTATTTAATACATTTCCCATGAGCACCCGCTCGTTTGAAACTACACAAGACAACATGGCGGGTATGTGAATATCTTCTCATCTATTGTACATCCACCCGGTGAAATTAGCTTTAATAAGACCACCAGATAACGTAAATAAATGCTTTAAACATTCACAATTACGCTAACTGTACCTTAGTCTGAGTTTTACACAACGATATCAATTCGAAATAAAACGAAAAACGTGACCTTGGCTGTGCTGCTAACTGTGGCTAACGTTAGCTCACCGTTGGGGGACTGTCAGTTATGGAGGAATTTAATGTGCCCTGTTTTTTTTTTTTGACTGCAGGAATCGGAGCGTTCCTGAAGAATGCATGGAACAAGGAGCCTGTTATCCTGACCTCATGTGCAATTGGAGTTGTAGGTCAGTAACCAGTGTGTGTGTGTGTGTGTGTGTGTGTGTGTGTGTGTGTGTGAGATAGAAAGAGAGCACAACATTGTACAACTTGCCTTTGATATAACTCCTTTGACTGTACTCGATTATGTCAATAAGAGAGAATTAGTGGTATCCCAAATGTTGGGACCATAAGATTCCACTGGTATATATTGACTTTACCTCAACTGTCTTTAGTTTGACAAGTTTGATGATAGTTTAATTGAATATATAACATTAAATAACAAATGGGCCTTTCAAAACCACCGTTTATTAAAATTTTCATTTCAAGATAATGTGGTTATTAGATCTCATCTCCAAAGTACTTTTAAGTTAAATGTAGCCAAAAGCTACAGCATGAGATCATATCTACCCCAGAGCTACTAAAACCAAGAAGATGACCAAAAGCACCTCAAAAGTGAATGTTCTGAGATGTCTTAATATACTCAGAGTCTCATCGGTCCTCTGGTTGGCTGTTCCAAGGGTCAGACCTTCAATGATGAAATGATGCCTCTCAATACTTTTTATTTCTAGCCTTTTTATGTGTAGAAGTGGTCAGCACCAGGGTATGTCAAGGGTTTGCTAAGAACTTATGCAAATGTTTAAGTGCTGGTAAATTGATTCTTAAACATAAAGCAGTGTACTTCATAATGGGAGTAATGTTTCTCTCTCTCCCTCTCTGTTTTTTTATCTATAAGAGTTGTTGTGGGGACCATAACCGGTGGATTTTTGTAGACACAATGTACACTATAAAGTGTAATTAATATATTTTATGTAAAGTTAGTAAAACTTGTTTTTCCTCAGGTGTTGTTCTGCCATTCATCAGCCCCATCACAAAGTATACAGGAATGATCAATTCGGCTGTGCCGTACAACTACCCAGGTAAGCATTGCTGCTGATCAGGTTGTGGTTGAGTGTCAGATACTACGCAATGTTGACACAAGTGAAACAGCTCTGGGTATTTTAGCCATTTATTTCAATACAAGTTTAATCAAATATTAAAGCTTCCTTTGCTTCCTGATTCAATACAGTCCCCGTGCGAGATGATGGGAACATGGCTGATGTCCCTGCCCATCCATGTGAACCAAAAGGAAATAACTTGGACTGGCTTAAAAAGATGTAATTTCACATTGTCACAGTCAACACTTCTGCTTTTCCTCTTGTTCATGTGTGTCTACATATCTGCTCCCCTCATTAATGTCCCACAATAAAGATTATCTATTTAATTCTACTTTTGTGCCACATTGTTTGATTTGGATTACATTTGGATTGAATGCATGTTGTTGTACATTATAAAATTACATGAACATTTAATAAAATGTCATGTTGTAATTGCCTTAGTTGAACAAGTTTTAACATTAGAAAATCTAGTCTAACAGTGTTTTGTTATTTGGACATGAAAAATGTCAGCGGTTTACTTACATCTTTTCATAAAAAGTTATTGCAGAGTTGATCAAAATTGTAACATCACTACAATTTATAAATCTAAGCTATTGAAATTTGAACATGAAGTCTATATTATTATTATTATTATTATTATTATTATTATTATAATACAGAAAACCTTAAGATAACCTAAACATCAGTTTTAAAGACATCCATGACATTTTTTGACTTTCCACTACATAACAAATGCTGGATTGGTAGACCAACATCTCACTGTGTTAAGACTTTGATTTTGCAGAGCAGATCATAACAGTTTTGAAACTAAGCTTCAGCACAACCCTGATCCTTCACAAGAGGCTTAACTTGACAAAGCTGTGTAAAAACGTATTACTTGTGTAATACCTGCATTATTCTACTTGAATGAGAAAGATAGCAAATCAATATGTAACGCAGTGCTGCATGAAACCTAGTGGCAACAGTTAAAATATGGATCTGAGGATTATTCAATAAGATGGTGTAATGCCGGTGTCACTTATTTTGCAGTAATATAAATGCACATTTTAATGTATACAAAACCTCAGTTTGATATAGAAGTTATTGATACAGAGTAACAGTGGACAAAGATTTCCTTTATAGAACTTTTATTTCACAACACAATATTCAGTGTTTCAGATAAAGAATGTCTTCCTCAGCAGTATTCATCCTTATAAAATAATCTGTAGTCACCAGGATTTCATGTCGATGCAACTCAGAGAACAGACGGATGGTCTGTTTATGCTGCTTCATGATCTTTTACAGAACCAAGGAACTGTAAACTAAAATAGGTGTGCAATGTTCTAACAATATTTCAGTATGGAAGAAAAGTTTTGGACTTTGGAGAAGTTCCCGTTTTTAGCGGCAGTGTTACTGCAACAGACACATTTTAGCATGTTAGCTTTCTGTGCCTCCATCTGCAGCCGTGATAAGAGGACAGGTGAAAAAGTATCTTTTAGACATCCACACATATACTTTCTGTACACATGTACAATATCCTGTAGACTAACTGTAAATATTGATTTGCCATACATTTCTTGTTACATATTTATACGATTTATACTTTTAATAAACTTCCCATGTATCTCTTCCCATTTAACATATTTCATACTTCAGATATATTTCCATGTTGTACATATACTACATTATTTCTCTGTATCAATCATTTTATACAATCAAATGTTTGCACACTTTTTATTAATGCACAAAAGAGAGAAAACTTTGAATACCAGGATAGACATATAAGCAGGTTTTCCAGTACGGGAGGTTCACTGCATCTGCAGGTTCTACAAAGTCAAAATGTTCTACCAAAGTGAAATATCATCATAAAAAGAAGTCAAATAAAAGTCACACAATCACACGTTTCAAACACTATTTACGAGCATGAATATGTATTAGCTCTATCATTTTACTGTCACCTTTATTAATGAAGCCATACGACTCAAAGTATATATATGCTGTTAGAAATGAGTTACTACAAGCATTAGAGGCGATATTTTCAATCTTCAAGGTGCTAAAAGATCACGCTCAATTACAACTGGAACATAAACCATATCAGTTTGCACAGATAGAAAGTTTCACCTTTAAACTGCAGTTTTCTGGAGGTGATTACAGAGCTACAGAATATTACTTTGGATATCTCTAGTTTACCATTAACACTTGCTCAGACATTGGTCAACTTCCCTTCTGCTTTCTCCATCACTTTCATAGATACTTTTCCCCTATTAAAACTTAATCCTCCCACTTTTATTCTTAATCCTGTCGTCTGTCTTGGCTTTCACATCTCTCTTGAAGATTCTGCTCAGTCTGATTGGTAAACGTACAACTACAATCAACGAGCCTAGATCTTATCTAGCTTTAGATTTGGGACTGAAAAGGAATCAAGAAGACATCAAATCCAAAGACTAAGCATGCAAATGTATCATTCTTAAAACGTTCAGCCCTCCACATTGTGCTACTTTCTAAAAGACAAACAAACACTTCTGTCAATAACACCATCCAAATATTTAACTATTAACTGTCACAGTTTGTGTCTGTGAAGCTTTTCTGTTTTTTGTTTTGTTTTCTAGGACTTGCTCTGTATTAAATATGTATTCCACTGAGAAACTAACAAGCCTCATTGATCAGCCATTAGAATAATCAAATTTAAGGTAGAATTTGTTTTTACAATGTATTTTGAGTCCAGGTAGAGTTAAACTAATCCAAAAATCTACATTCATAAAACACCAATACATAACTTTTACAGCAGCAGAATATGTTGTGTTAACTGGCAGAAAAGATATAACTGATTTAACACTCCAACAGCATTGCCCATGTTCAGTAATTTTAAGGTAAAAATGACACTGTGCAAAGTTTCTCTCAACCAAACAACCATGTTTTAAAATAGAAGACACTTTGAATAAATTTAAAAGTTCACTTTCATTGAAACCAAGAAATGCAACAATCCTGCAGGTTTTCTAGAAATATAATATCATAGCACTTTTAGAGTAGGAGCCTGTCCTCTTTCTGTAACACTTCATTACAGTGGAAGTGAAAGTTCACAACCTGCAATTAGGAGCCAGTCCCTAGATCAGCCTAACAAAGGACACTCTTCTGAATATGGCACAAAAATAACAAAACTGTAGATATTAAAGGGTTACATTGAGAAATAATTGCACTGTGAAACAGTAAGAGTAATAAGAGGCATCTTTCATAGGCCAGGCAAAACCTAAAAATATTAGTTATTACATAAGATACAGTATGTTGATCTGAAACACTAATCTAGGTACAGCCAAACACCTTACGCTTGTTTCATAAAAACTAGCCTAGATTTTACTTTAATGCCCACTTTGTTTCACTCAGATATTATTGTGGTCTTGTTTCTACTTTTTCAACTACTTCAAAACTGAGTGGCCTGTAATCATATTTATAACAGATCAGCCTTTACACATGAACCATTTACATTTTGATTCACAAATGTTGTATTCCTGCACACAAAACACAATGTGTATTTGATTAATTTGCAGAAAAGAACATCCAAAGTAAATTGAAACGAATCAACATGAACCAATGGGCTGTTTCCAGGATTCAACCTGAGGTCTGGTGGACTGACAAACAAAAGAG